TGTGGTAAGGGGTAATTTTGCTGAGACTTTGAACGTGAGTTTTTTCAAGTCCCAGCTAGCAGGTGGGAACAAGTCACCTAGCCGGTGAGCCAACCAGCAGCCCCACACCTTCCTCTCCTGTCTTCTCCTGTGACGTGTGTTGTATCCATGGCGAATCTCCCGTGTTGATATGCTCTTTGTTTCTCTGGGAGAGAGAGCCAAGGCAAGTTTTGGCAAGGCAAAGAGCAAGTGAAGTTAACGGAAGAGGGATGGTTTTCTACCAGAAAAGAGCAGTGTGGGATAAATTAAAATGTGCAGTTTGGTTCTTGCTGGTGGCACAAATTTATTGTGTGAATAAATCTGCCATTCTCTAAGTGTATGACGAAAATAAATCCACCCTCGTGTGGTGGTCAGGCTGGTGCAAAACGGGCTCGCCCAAGTGAGCAATGAGAGCATCAAAACGAGTTAAAAGGTGGCTGTGCCTCATGTGTCGTGAGGAAATGCACAGTAAACACAAGGTGGTCAGCAGAAATGTGGTTCAGGAGGACGCAGGTACTGCGTGCCGACGTTTCTGGGAAGCTGCGGGTGGGGAAGGCTCTGGTAGTGGAGCTGTGGTGTTGACCTTCACTCGGAGAAAGGGTGATTTAATTTTTAAAAGCATCTTCTTAGCATAATATGACTCAAAGGGCACAGGCAACTCACAATGATCACGCTGCCAGGGGGAACACTCCCTCCCAAGGGAAAGATGCTTCAGGCAGAAGAGTTTCTGCAGACAGAACTGGACCCCACTGAAAGAAAAAACCTTACTCAGTATCCTTTTCAAAGAAGAGGTGACCCTAGAGTTGCAGCGACCAAGGACAGATGGTTGTCTCAGGTGCCCTGTTGCACCCCAGCCCCAGACCACCGAGGCACCAGAGAGCAGGTCATTTGCCCACAGAAAGATGGTAAAAAAGGCAGGGGTCGCCACCCAGCTCTTTTTAGAGTGACTCTATACATGCTCCATGTGGGAAATGGAGAAGGAGCTCATGAATTGCGGGTTCTGCTGGTCCTGGCGCTGCCTAAGCCCTCCATCAACACGGGGGTTTGCGCCCCTTCCCACGTTGGAGCATGAGCACATGTGTTTAGCTTAACACATGACCTCAGTCCCATATTTATAGAATCACCTATAGGATCAGAAGGGGCCTTGAATTTTTCAGCTCTGCTTTCCTGCAGATGGGGGAGGAAACAGTATGCGTTAGTGAAATTCACAAAACCCAAGATTGACAAGGTTTGGGGTGGAAATCATTTTCCGTACATCCCTTGGACAGAAATCATCATGCCAGGTGCCAGGGTGGTAGCATGAGGCCTGTTGGGCTGACGTGGCCTTGAGACCACACGAGAATGGAGCCCGAGACCTCTCCACCCTCCTGCCCACTCCAGCCTGCCTTGCCATTCCTCATCTGCCAAGCCCCACCCACCTCAGGGCCTTGGCACCTGCTGTTCCCTTGGCCTGGAACAGCCTCCCCATGTGGGTATTCACAGGGCTCACTGCCTTCAGGTCTCCACTCAGGTGTCACCTTCCCTAACCAAGTGTCTCAAAGAGTGTCCCTTTCCCTGGGTCGTCTCTGGCCTTTACCCTGCTTTGTTTCTCGTAGCGCTTGTCTCCACCTGCCGGTAGATCCAGTGTGCACCTGCCTGATCCGCGTCTATCTCTGCCCCGTGACTGTGAGGTCTGTGAGGCAGGGGGCGTGCCATTCTACAGCCTAGTGAAGGTTGAGAGCTTGTGTCATTAATACCCTTGCCTTGCTGGGAACCCATTTCTGCTTCAGCCACCCTTGGGGAGAGGGTGTGGATTTTTCTGTTCCAGCTTCAGTGTAGCTCAAGACCAGGTCCTTTAGCTTCTTTTCACTCCTCCTCCCTGTCCCTGTCCCCCCAGCCACTCCCAGGACCTGAGCCCATTATGGCCCTCTGCATCCCTTTTACTCACCCGCATTTCCACACCACTAAGGATCCCTGCCCTCATCAGCCTGTTAAGCTGAGCTGCTTCCAATCCTCCTTTCTGCTCTGTGTTTGGGTATTTGTTTTACCTTCTCATTCCCTCTGCCCTCCCCCTGCCCCGTTGCAGAGCAGACCAAGTCCCTGATAAGAAGGGCCAACAAGGAAGACTATAAAATGGCCTTGACGGGGAATGAGCAGAATCCTGGGTCATTTTTCCAGCAGCTCCTTACCTTTCTGTCCCTAGGAGCAGCACTGGGGCAATGACAAGAGACAGTACATAACCCACTTGCCAGCCATCCGCAGGCATGCAAGGTTCCTTTGGGTGCCCTTGACCCTCCTGGGAGAGTGGCTTGGACTTGTCGTGGCCTTGGGGGAGGCTGGCCCTTCAGGCTCTCTTAGCCTTTGTAAGGTTTCTTTAAAAACCATAATATGTCCATGAAAAATTAAAATTCAGGGGATTTCACATAGATTTCAGATTCTAGCTTTTCTTGGGGAAAAAAATGACAATACCAAGAGTGTAGCCCTATATGGCAGGTGTTGGCTGGAGCTGGGCTGTGGCCCCTGGCCCAGGGCATTCAGATTCACAGCCACTCCCTGGGTGCCTGGGAGAAACTGATATCCCCTCATTTTAGTTTAGTTTTCCCATAAAAAAACCCGAGGTTTCCCATCAGTCCAGTGCCCGGCCATACAGAAGCCAACCTGGTGGAGCTGCTGTGTTTCCTTTCCTCTCCTCCCAATGCCATTCGGGATGTTCTGCTAGAACAGTCCTTCAGATGCAACACCCTAACCAACATAGTGGAAGGGTCAAGTGCCGCCAGGAATCTCCAGTACTCAACTTGGATGGATGGACTCAAGTACTCAGTATTCAAAGGATGCTGTTGTATAGATCCTAAGAGGCCACCTGTGAATTCCCAGTTTGTTAGAGGCCAGCTTCAGTGATGATCTTTGACATTACTGCTACATGATACAGTCCAGTTGCTTCTGCTGAATTCACATCTCCGGAGCAGACCTTCTCCCAAAGTCAAGACTCGAGTGTGTACGTGCAACTCAAGGGCTGCACTGGGATGCCCAAATCACGTCTTGGACCCAGTCTGTCTGAACTTGAGCCCCTGCTCTCTGCTCCCAAACCTGCACCACCCACAGCCCTCGAAGCTCAACCCGTCCTCTCTCCCAGCCACATCCACATTGTCAGGACGCCCCACGGGCCCTGTCTGCAGCTAGAAACTTCTAGAAACCTAGTCTCCTGGCTCTCACCTCCACCTCCCTTCATTCGGTCCCCGACTCAGCACCTAAGTCAGGTCAAGTCCTCCCCTGCTCTAGAGCCTACAGTGGCTCCCCATTTCACTCAGAGTAATGGCCTCGTGGTGACCTCCACGGCTCTGAGTGACCCGGCCCTCCCCCCGCCCCCATACTCAAGCCCCCTCAGCCTGTGTGCCCTGCTGCCTGCAGCACCTGGCTGTTCTGTGAACACACCACCCACGGGTGTCACCACGCCAGTGCCCGGAGCATAGCATCACCCTGGAGCTCCACACTGTTCTGCTCTTGCCTGTTCTTCCAGAACATGTTCTGACATCTAACACTCTATTTTGTTTATTATTCCCCTGGCTGCTTGTCCTACTTTACAAGGGCGGGGTTCTCGAGCTGTCTCGTCACCGCTGGGTCCCCAGTGCCGAGGACAGAACCTGGCACAGTGGCACTCCAGAAATATTTGCCGAGGGGATGAAAGTCAATAGGTAAAAGCCTCTTTAAGCATTCCAATAGAAACATTTCGAGCAGTTCTATTTTTAAATGGAGTTTTTTTTTTCTAATATTGAAAGAATCCACACATAAGTAATTAAGAGGGTGTTACAGTGACCCCCGTGTGTCCATTACCTGGCCTTGGCAATCGTGAATTGATGGCCAATGTCGTTTCATCTACATCCCCGCCCAGATGATTAGGAAGCAAATTCAAGTCATCACTTCGTTTTATCTGCAGATAGTTTAGTATGCTTTTCTTTTTATGCTGCATAGCCCTCTGTTGGGTGAGCGTACCGTAATTTATTTTATTCAGCCAGTCTTATTGGGTGCTGTTTGTGTGTTACTTTATACTTTATAAAACCAATTGTCCTTTCCTTGGACCTTCTGAATCGACCGCAGCATTGCAATGCTTTTTTCTTAAACTGAGGTGTAAAGTCTTTGCAATTCTTGTTACCTGTGGAAAAACAAAACAAAATAAAGTAAAATATTCCCAAGCACCCATCTGTCTCCATGATAGCATATATTATTCTGCTTAGGTACTTTGTTAGAGCGTTGTTTACAGCTTTTTATTCAGATACGATTTCAAATTTAAAGTTGCAAGAATAGTACAAATGATCCTCCATATACCCTCCAGCCCCACTCACTGGCTGTTAACATTTTGTCCCAGTTGATTGAGTGACTGATTGATTTTTTTTTTTTTTTTTTGAGTAAGCTTCAGGCCCAATGTGGAGCTTGAACTCACGACCCCAAGATCAAGAATCACATGCTCAACCGACTGAGACAGCCAGGCGCCCCTTGTTCCCACTGATTTATATTTGTACTCTGTGTGTGTGTGTCTTTTAATCATTTGAGATTAAGTTGCAGACATCAACTTTACCTTTACCCCTGAACACTGCAGTGTGTATCTCCTAAGAGTGGGGCATTCATTTTCCACTAGCACAGCACACTTAGGAAATTCAGGAGCGTTAGCATTACTACAATACTATTATCTACACCACACACTATATTGGGGTTTCTGCACTTGCCGCAGTAACGTCCTGCACTCCAGTGTCCCCCCCACCCCCACCCCCGCCCAGGATCCAGTGCCAGGACCGACGCTGCATTCTGTTGCCATGTCTGCCCAGTCTCCTTTAATTTGGAGTCCCTCTCCAGGCTTTTTTTTTTTTCTTTGTTTTGCATGACCTTGACATTTTTGGAGAGTACAGGCCAGTTGTTTTATAGAATGTTCCTCAATTCGGGGCCAATAGATTTTGAGCTGCAATCCAAGAACTCAATCTAAAGGCACACCCCCTGTTTCCCGCCCGCAGGACCCGGAAGCCGCCGAGAGAGACCCCTCTCAGCCACCCGAAAACCCGTGCACGAGGCTGAGGACCGAGAGGAAGACGCCTCAGCTGTGCTCAGGGCCATCCAGGTGGAGAACGAAGCCCTGCAGAAGGTGCTCCTCAGCAGAAAGGCTGAGCCCCCCACCAGCCCACTACAGGTGCGTTCAGGGGCAGAGGGGAGGGACCAGAGAGGAGGCTCCTCTGGGACCCGGTGGTTTGTCTGAGCAGCACTTGCAAAGAGAGATGTTATGTAGGCATCCCCGAACTCAGAATAGCTGCACGTCCACTGCTTGATGCACAATTGCTCCCTGACCTGCCAAAGTTCCCCGTTTCCTTCCCCTTCTTTGTTTACTTCTGAAAGCCTAAGGTGGATGCCAGTTTGCCTCCAACCCTTGCTGATCTCCCTGCAGGCCCTGGATACCTTAGACCAGGGCCTGCAAGCTGGTGGTTCAGAGAAAGAATGGAGTAGACCACAGCCCTGGCTGCTCTGGAAAGACCTCATCCCCCAGAGCACGAGTCCCTCAGGCCTCCGCAGCCCTTAGCAGTCCCTGTTGTCCTGTCCCTGCCCCACTGCACCTGTTCCAGAAACTTCACTGGCCTGGCAGGTGTTTGAGTTTGTGTCCACCGCCTTCAGCTTTGCGCAAGAAGCGGGAGGATACGTGGCGGGGTGGAGAAGAGACCCTTCAGGAGCTGGAGGGTAGATATGCCTCAGGGTACACATCCCACACCACCAGCCGCTCCCTGGCCTCTAGCACAGGCTGCCCTTTGGGGCATTCATCGAGCGGTACCTGTTGTCTGTCTTCTTGGAGCTCAGTCCTTTGCCCCTGACGTTTGTGTCTATGGGATCTCATGATGGGGCCCGTGCCTCTGTGCCCTCATCTGCCTGTGCAGAGTATATAGTGGATGGCTTTATTCTGACCTCAGATCATGTGATTTCATCATTCCAGGACGTGGAGGGACCAGCAGCAAAATCGTGGACCAGTCTACTGAAGCGGAAGGAAGGGAGCCCTGAGGTTGGTGAAGGCTTGAGCAGAACAATAAAGCCCTGTATCCACTATCCCCAACGGCACCTAGGAGCCTCCAGAGGGCTTACCCCGCTGTGATCCCCAAGCACAGTGTCATTCTGCCCATTTCACGGATGGGGAAACCCGAGCTGGAGTAACTTGCCTAAGGTTCTGAGTGGAAGCCAGAACTCACCTAGGCCTGGGGACTCCAATTCCTTGTTACATTTCTATTTCCTGATAAGGCAGCACAAAAACAGATCTTAGGATCCTGAATAAATAAATTATGACCTACCTAGGTCAGTTAGGCCTCTCTCAGCAAAGACAGCCCCAACGAGTTCAGACGTGAACGAATACAATGCCCAGAAACGTCTTTGTTAGATTGTACACAGGTCTGGGTCATGTGCTTAGAATACAGAGGTGGCTAAGTCAGATCAGATTAGCCCCTGGCCTCAGGGAGCTTGCAAACGACAAGCAAATAAAGCCATAAATACAGCAGGTGACTTCAGAGAGAGATGACAGTAAAAGATTGTAGAGGGTGGCTATTCTCTAAAAGGGTGGCCCGAGGAAGCCCCTTGGAGGGTCCCATTTGAGCCGAGCCCTGTGTCTTAGGGAACCAGCCAGCAACACGGAACAGCAGGTAGAAGGGACAGGCGAGTGCTGTGAAGTGGGAGCGAGCCCAGCCTGATCCAGGAGCGGAAAGAAGCCTGACTGGTGGTGGGGATGGGGGGCACCAAAGGGTAGGGGACAGTGAGTGGGGAAGGGAGAGGAGGCGGGGAAGGGAGGAGAGAGTGCCCCAGAGCACCGTCCTGGTTTCCTGTGTCCCACCTGCTGGTTCTGTTCTTTCTGTCGCCAGCTGACATTTCTGATCGGTCTGTGGTTCTGCCCACCGCATAGGCGCGCTTTCCGGATGACCTGACCCCAGACCCGCAGAGCTTCCAATGACTAAAATCATTTGCAGATAGAGAGCAGAGCACATTTCTAGTTTAGATGATAAATGTCAAAGGAGGAGGATTAAAAATGAAAGGGCCCTAAGGATGTCACTGGAATCCTTCCATGGAGTTTGGTTACTTTGTAGCAGAGCAGGGGTGTGACCAAGAGGGGGAGAGGTTTTGATGAGAGAAATTTTTCAGTAGCTGATTGAAGAGATCGATTGCTGGCACCTCCCGGATCATAAGAAACAGAGATATCTGTCCCTTTGCAGAGATTGTGGTGGAGGATCCTGGATCTCATCAGTCTCTCTGTCCCTCTTCCTCCTTAATAAGCGTTTCCATCCTCCACAGCTTCCTACCGCCGCCGCGGCCACCAGCACAACGAGCATGGCCAGCCCGCAGGAGCCGTCCGGGGCAGCAGGGGGAGCTCGAGCCGTCAGCGAAGCCATTGACAGAATTGGCCTTTTGGGGAGCAGGTACCTACCGAGGCGGCTTCAACACAAAACCAGAACCCCATAGCAATGCAGCCATGAGGATCTCGTTAACCGAGGCTTCTCTTTGCTCCTCCTATGTTATCCCAGGCCACATAAAGCTACTCCCTTAGCCCGTACCCTCCCAACCCCTCCGGCCCTAAAGCGCCAAACTGACTCGATGTCTTTCCAGCTGATGTGTCTTTGCTGGTTCGGTTCCGTCCACCCTGTGTAAGACTTCATCGCCCCCCCGCCCCCCGCCCACGGGCTTCCACCAGAGGACCCCGTGCAGCAGACAGTGGTGAACTCGCTGTTGGCGGTGGTTGTGGGGGGGTCGTGGAGAGGGGGAGAGTGGCCCAAAGCGGTGTCCTTTCCACCTCTGTTTTCTGCTAAGTTTGTTCAAACGCAGCTTTCGGTTCCATTAACGTGTGGGAGCAGCTACCGGAACTGTCAGGTCTTCTCTTCGAAACAAAGTCTCCCCTCTAGTCTTGAGGCAAAGTTGATCTTCGGAAAGATGCACCAGGTGGAGCCGATAGTTATAAGCATGCGTTGGCACCCATGTGCTGGGCACCGTGGTGTCTGCAGGGCGAGAGGGCATGCCAGGCACTGAGCGGAGGCCCTGGCCTGGGACTGCGCGCTTTTTCAGTGCTAGGCATCCCTCTAAGAGTCTGCAAACCCCAGACTGGAAACCAGGGCTGTGTACCCCAGCGGCCATGAGTAAGAACCCACGGCTTCCTCTACGCGGGAAAGGCCTGGTGCCTGAGGATATCTTACGTCTGATACGGTTCTGTTTACGGGCAGCACACACATCACCCAATGCTTCTTTCTTCATCCTCAAGATCCTTGATGCTCTGGGGTCTTGAGGGTACTCTGCCTTAAACAGCACATGTGGGGTGCATTTGCAAACCCCAGAAACAGGAGGCACGAAGTAGGTCCCTAGGCCAGGAGTAGCAGAGGTGTTTAGCAAAGGGCCGGATAGCGAATACTTCAGGCTTTTCACTTTACTTGTTGGTTGGTTGGTTTTAACAACCCTTCGAAAGGTAGAAGCCATTCTCAGCTTGCAGGCTCTGGCAGGCCGTACTCTGCCACCCTCTTCACCATCTCAGCCATCTCACCAGTCTGCCGCCAGCTTGCCCCAGTTTCCTCCACTTGGCTCCTCTTTCATCACTAGTTGTCCAGTTATTATAAAAGGAGGGGTGGCGTGGGGGGACAGCCTGTGTGCGCCTTTGAGCAGTATGCGGGGCAGGTACTCTCCTCAACCGCGACTTCTTCTGAGCTAGAAAAGTCAGTGCGGTCGCCTTGATGGGCCTGCTCTCTGGTGTGAACCCTCTGTCACTGCCCGTTCGCTAAACCAAAATCCCCTTTCAGGCAGCAGCAAAGGCTTCTGAAAGTGCTCCAGGCCATCGAAAGCGACTCTGCCCGGCTCAGCACCCTTGCTTCACCAATGAAGGAGCCCGTGCCAGACCCAGAGGTGAGAACGTTGGGATTTCTAGATGCATTCAGCGTCTCGCCTGAAAGCCAAGGGAGGAGGGGCCCCTCGGTGCCACAATCTCTGTGTGGTGGGGAGGGTCGACAGCCATAAACTGAACGTTCTCTGCCCAAGTCTCCATCCCCCTCCCGCCCAGCCCCCGGACAGGCCTGGGGTGGGGTCAGGGGTAGCCGTGGAGAGAAGCCTGTCCACACAAGAGGCAATATAAATAGCATGTGAGCCCAGAGGAAAATGTCCAGCATTGCTGGTCATCAAGAAATGCCGATTAGAGCAAACTTAATGTCCCACTTGATATCTGAGCTCCAGAATTTTTTTTGAAGATGTTATTTATTTATTTGTCAGAGAGAAAGAGAGAAAGCACAAGCAGGGGGAGCATCAGGCAGTGGGAGAAGCAGGCTCCCCGCTGAGCAGGGAGCCCGATGCAGGACTGGATCCCAGCACCCTGGGATCATGACCTGAGCTGAAGGCAGAAGCTTAACCGAATGAGCCACCCAGGCGCCCCTCCCAGATTCTTTTTGATGATAACCTCTAGGACTGGCAAGGTCACACACAGCAGGCTTATCCTGCTGGCAGCAATGGAAATGGGTGGGACTCTCTCGAAAAGCAGAAAGGCCAGGCCTCCCAGCCCAGCGATCCCACTTCCTCACCCTAAGGAAATAACTCAACAGAAAGCAAAAGCTACAGGCACAAAGCTGTCTGTTGCAGAATGATCGGGAAGTAGGGAAGAATGAGGAAGAAAAAAAGAACCAGAAAGAGGACGAATGTCTCATGATAACGGAGTTCATCGGGAAGGCCTGACATACCAGCACAATGCAGTGGTATAAAAGGAGGGGAATTACCATTATGGCAGTTATGCAGGATGAAAATGGCGAGGATATAGAGTTAACTGCAAAAGGTGATGTTAATGTCCATTGAGTCCAGCGTGAGAGTGGGGCTGTGCAAAGCCACAGCCGTGTGACATGTCGACACAGCAGAGCCGTGAACCAAAAGGCCAAGGTGGCCTCCGGGTAGAAGGGTAACGGGGATTCGCATTTCTTTTGTGTTGGAAGGTGTGTGTCCGGCACATCCTTCTCAGCCTTCCTTTGCCCAAGGCGCTCGATCGGCCATGTAAGCCCTCCCAGAGCCACACATAAAACTCCCATGACAGCAGAAAGACCCCCACGCCAGCCTAGACCGGAGTTCCGGCTCCAAGTCTGGTGCCATCATTTAGAGGGCACATGACCTTAGACAACCTCTTAAGCTCTCTGATCCTGGGAGTGTGCGGCTGTCACACTGGGTAAATAATCCACAACCACGGGCTGCGATGAGGCTAGAATAGAAGAGTTTTGTGAGGGTGGGCACCTCAGTGCCTGGCACACAGCAAGGAGGAGCCAGCAAATTATCATTTGAAAGTTTGACATCTAGAAAAATCGAGAAAATTCAAAACTTTACCCCCCCCAATGCCCCCTGCATGGAATAGTTGCTTTCTTAGCCATGAAGATCCTAAGTGTGATAAAACTTGAGCCACATTAAAAAGAGCCTGGATTGATCGAGTCTCCTTATAGCAAACAGAAAACCCAGGGCAAATTGAATTATCCAACAAAGGGAAGGAAATGATAGACACTTGTAATAAATGCCACAGTTGATCAGGTAGGGCTTAATCCAGCAGCCCACGCTGTGTCTCCACCATCTCAGCTCTGTCCCCCCTCAGCCCCCAGGCCCAGCTCTGCTGTCTCCCTGGGATCCCTCAGTAGCTCCAGTAGTCCCCACCTCTTGACCTCATCCCCTCAGGCCCTATAGTCAGGAGAGAAGAGCATTTCTTCCACGCACAGACCTGAGAGTGGGTCACATGCCCGTCACTGAGCCACCCCCTCCTGGTGGCTCAGGGGACCAGCCACACTGCTTCATTGGACCAGTCAGGCTCCTCCTCGGTGTGGGAATGGGTCCATCCCCCTCTAGGACCACCCTCATGGCTGAGGAAAGAGAATGGGTGGCTTCCCAACAGGAAAATTAGATGTTCTTGGTGAGAGAGGGGGAGGGGGCCGTGAACACCGGAGACCAGGAGCTGCCCAACCAGCGTTTACCTTGGACGCCCACAAGGGATCCCAAAGCAAGCGATTCAGAAGCGGGCGAAGCCATCGAATCACAACACTGGCAAGTTCTGACACTTCCTTAGCTAATAGACCCTTCAGCTTCTTCATTTCCAAGTCCCGCTGCAGGACTTCACACGTTTTAGATTGCATGGGGTGTGAGATCCAGCAGCCCCTCTGCAAGGCAGCTCACCACCCATCTGGGCCTCCTCCCTATGGTTTCTGCCGAGGCCTCTCCTCCCTGCTGCCACCAGCCAAGGTGAACGGTGCCGCCTCCTCCCGCCTCCCCCCCCCCACCCCCCTCACCTGGCAGTGCAGCACCCCTCACCAGCCCCAGCTCATCTACCTCCCAGTCGCAGGGGGCTGAGAGTCCTCCTTGTCCTGCACACCTGGGACTCAGCCCCAGGGGAGCAGAGAGGGCCTGGCCAGGGCCACATGCAGCCCCGCGGCAGAGGAGAAGGACGCAGCGGGCTCTGCTAATAAAAGCCGGCCCTGTGTTCCTTCTGGGAGCTGGGAGCTGACCTCCCTCCCTCCCTCCCTCCCCATCCCCATCCCCATCGCGTGGCAATCAAGGCGTTTCCAAACACACGCGGCAAGCGATAGCACGTCTCGCTGGCTATTAATTAAAAAAATAAGTAGGGAACAGTTGCTGTTCATTTGCTCAACTCCCTGCTCACAGAACCATTGCAGATTACCAGTGCTAATTAACAGAGGGCATGTGCACGCGGGGAATGCACCATTTTATGAGTGACTGATCCGTGGCGACCAGCACTGCAATCGGGGCCTGAAGGGGCCTCAGGAGGCCATTCTGCAGCATGGCTGTTTATTGATGGCATTCACGCAGCCTGGGACCAGGCAGCCTACCCACGAAGGAGGCAGCGCTCAAATCAGTGAGGGGAAAAATGGCTGGAAGTGGACCCTTAGGGAGTGCATGCGGGGGCCAGGACGCGTGACAGGGCCTTCCCCGGTGTCTGTACCTGCCTTAATCTCCGTGACAGGATTGCCAGAGAGATGGTGTCATCATGTCCTGTTTCCCAACCAGGCTGAGGAACGTCAGGTGGCTTGGCCAGGGTCCTTTGTTACTGACCAAATTCATTTGCTAGGGCGGCCGTAACCACGCACTGCAGATGGGGTGACCTAAGCCACAGAGATGTATTTTCTCACAGTTCTGCGGGCTGAAGTCCAAGATCAAGGTGTCAGCAGGTGTGGTTTCTGCCGAGGCCTCTCCTCCTGCCTTGCAGATGGCTGTCCTCCAGCTGTGTCCTCACGCAGTCTTTCTCTGAGCATGCACACCCCTGGTGTGTCTCTTGAACAGCTCTCCCCTTTTTGTAAGGACATGGGTCAGACTGGATTTGGGCCTACCCTCACGGCCTCCTTTTACCTTAGTTACCTCTTTAAAGTCCCTGTCTCCAAGTAATAGTTACATTCTGAGGCACTGGGGTTAGGGTGTTAGCATCTGAATTTTGGGGGGACATAATTTAGCCTGTAATACCTTCCCCAATTCACGAACGCTTGGGAATGGGGGAGAGAAGAGCACGTTCAGGCAGAATCTGGTGCCTTTTAGACATTTTTTGTGATTTGCAGACTCTTATGGAAAATACTAACTGCTGGGGTTTCACAGTAACTATGTGTTTTTTTTAAGATTTTATTTATTTGAGAGACAGAGTGTGAGAGAGGGCGCAAGCCGGTGGGGGAGGGGTGCAGAGGGCGAGGGAGAAGCAGGCTCCCCACTGAGCAGGGAGCCCAATGCGGGGCTTGATCCCAGAACCCTGGGATCATGACCTGGGCCAAAGGCAGACGCTTAACCAGCTGAGCTACCCAGGCACCCCCAGTAACTATGTTTTAAGTCCTTTACAAATAGGAGCTCTTTTAATCTTGGTAATAACCATATGTAATGGGTACTATTCCTACCCTCCTTGTACGGATGGGGAAACTGAGGCCCTGAGTGGCTAAAATAACTTGTTGCTTAGTGGTAAGCTGAATCCAGCCTATCTGTCCTGTTTTGATTCTTTGGCATTCTTTTTCTCTTCATTAAGGCCAAATCGAGAACAAAAGGTGGAGACATCAAAGATGCCATCTATGTGACCTTGGAAATCCTGTCCAACTGGGGCCACGCGTCCTGGGTGGGACTCACAGAAGTGGAGTTCTTTGACCTGCACAACACAAAGCTTTATGTGTCGCCCCATGACGTGGATATCCGGACCACGGACACACCCGGGGACCTGGGCCACCTGGTCAATCGGAACTTAGCTGTAAGTGGAGGCGGTACCAGAGTGAGACTTGGCCCTTGTGTTTTGATGCATTTTCTCTGCCCACGATAGGCAGTGCTGCAAATGTAACTGTAGAAGCTTAGCACCATGCCTGGCTCTTCCAAAGGGCCCCCAAAACATCAGTTCTTATTGTATTTGTTATTGTTATTAGATTAAGAAGTAGATACTGTTCCCATTTAAAGGCGAGGAAACAAGAAAGCGGAGCTTTAAAATCCTCAATTCTAGAGACCCACGTTCTGGTCTTAACTCTGTAGCCTTCAGCAACTTACCTGCCTTCTCTGAGAAATCAGCTTCTCTGCCTCCTGTAAAGTAGAACTGGAGGGCGGGGATAGTCCATAGGGTTCTTGTTTGTCGGCAAAAGAAACGGGAGTCTGGCTCACTTCCACAAATTTCTAACAAAAGAACTTTGTTGCAAGTCTTTGGGTATCTGGTAGGTTGACTGCCCCGCAGGCCAGAAAGGGCAGCCCCCACGGTCATGTTGGGGGTCTAGGTGGCATCCAGGATGCATGGGCACCAAGGGCGTGGTCTTTTTTGGGGAGTGGGAGGCAGTGGTGGTTCGTTGGGGGGGTGGGAGGCAGTGGTGGTTCTTTGGTTTGCCATCCTGTCGCTCTGCTGGAGACCCACCATCCCAGGAGAGGAAGGGCTGCTGGCCAGCCTGGCTAGGAAGGTGGGCACCTTAATGCCGGTTACACTGAGATGCCGCAGTGGGGCAGGGAGGGAATTCTCCCTGGAGAAGTTCAGCGTTGTTACCAAAGGGAAGGCAGGGGAGATGCTAGATAACTGAGAAACACCACCCATCCACAGGGTTAGACTGGGTAGTGACAGCCCTCTAAGATCAACAGCTCTGTGACCTTGAAAGAAGCAGGTCCCATAGGTCATGGCCACTGGTAGGCTCTGGACTTGCATTTCCTGCTCTGCTTCCTGCTTCGAGTCTGTAGGCACCCATGTGTGCTGGAGGGGCTTAGAGCGACCCTCACCACCCCACCCCACCCTTGTCCAGAGCAGTGGCATTCTGGAAGCCTGCTGTATACAGAACAGAGCCTACCAGGGCAATAAAAAGCATCATTGGATTTGATCAGGGCCAATTCTCAGGATGATTTTTCCTTTTCCTCTGTTCAGCAGAGGCTGGTGAGCTTTGCCACATGACAGCAGGGAGGAATGGGGCCCGTGGTTCTGGTGGGGTCGGGGTTTTAAATCTGGGGCCCCGAGGTTGGGACAAGAGGCAGCCATCTCCCCCCGGGCTGCCGGATCTCTGGGCCCAGCCGTGTGCTGGCTGTATGCCCCCTGCCGCCCTGGCACGGGGTCTCCCCGATGGTCGTCCTGTTTACTGGGCCTGGGACCGCCAGCACATAACTGCCTCTCAGGACCACCCAGTCTCACTGGGGTCGATTGAAGACCCACAGCACACAGACCAGGGCCACAGACATCCCTCAGGTGATCCTCACAGGAACCTTGAGTTCCTCTCCACGTCTGCTAAATGGGAAACCACGTCTCAGGGAGGCCAGGTGACTTGCCCCAGCCACACGGCCGTGGAGTCAGGAAGCTTGGCTGCAGTCTCACCAGGAGGTATCTGGAAGTGGAGTCTGGGTTTGAAAGAGAAGTCGCTTCAGTGGAAGAGAACGGGGGCTGCCAGAAGATGTGGGGGTGCCCCATGCTTGGTGCAAACCCTCCTCCTGTCTGCGTCCACACCATCTCTCTTATTGGCCTTGCCCAGGCCCATGGCTTCAAGATGATTCCAAATGGACACACCAAGGCCCACCTGCTTCTCTGAATTCCTGACTTGAATGCCTGCCACTTCCTGCTCTACATCTCTCCTCGGATGCCTACTGGACACCTCAGACTTCGGAGATGTAAATCCTAGGTGTTCATTCCCTGGCCCTACCCACATCTCTCCCTCCTGCAACACTCCTGTGCCCAGTCAATGGCACTGTGGTCCGCTCTGCTGCCAAGCCCATCTCCTAAGAATCTTTCTGAACTTCCCCAACCTCTTCCTGCCACCTTCCAGGACCCCAGCAAGTCCTGCTGCTTCTTCCTCCCAAATGGAGCCTGAGTCTGGCCCCTTCTCTCCATTTCCCTGGTGGCCCCCAAGTCTGATCAGTGTGCTGTTCCCTCTCGAGAGCACTACTAAATGGCCTCCTGTCTCATTGTCTTCTCTTCCGGCCCCTTCCGCTCCATTTTCTATTCTGGATCGAAAGTGATCTTTTACAAATGTCAGCCTGCACCCCTCCCCTGCTTAAAACCCTGGCCATGACTTCCCAGTACACTTAGAAATAAAATCACAGGGCGCCTGGGTGGCTCAGTTGGTTAAGCGACTGCCTTCGGCTCAGGTCATGATCCTGGAGTCCCGGGATCGAGTCCCACATCGGGCTCCCTGCTCAGCAGGGAGTCTGCTTCTCCCTCTGACCCTCTTCCCTCTCGTGCTCTCTGTCTCTCATTCTCTCTCTCTCAAATAAATAAATAAAATCTTAAAAAAAAAAAAAAGAAAGAAAGAAAGAAAATCACATGCCCCCTATGGCCTAGGAAGTTGTAAACGGGCCTCCACCTCCCTCTCTGCCTGCCTCTCACACCCCCTGCCTCACGCACCAGGCTCCAGCAGCCATGGGGCTTCCTTCTGCTGCTCGGAAGCTCCAAGCTCATCTCACCTCTGGGCTCTGCCCAGAACATCTGTCCTCCAGAGTTTCATGTAGCTACCTGCCTTCTCATTCAGATTTCGGCCCAGATACCACTTCCTCAGCAAGCCCTTCCCTGACTACAGTGTGGAGGAGTCCTGTCTCACGCCACCCCAGAAAATGTCATTTTCTTCAGGGTACTTCTCACATTAAGAAATGATCTTGTTGCTTGATCATTATCTGTCTCCCCTCCATTAAGCTACACGTTCTTGTCTGTCCCAGCCATCCTATATCCCCAGCATGTAAAGGTACAGTATATTTTTTGTACTTTTTATTTGGAAGTCATCATAGAATCACAGGAAATTATTAAAAAAAATTGTGCAGAGTAGAGAAAACTAATAGAGGGAAATCAATGAAGCCAAAAGTTGGTTTTTTGAAAGGATCGACAAAGTTAGGTTTGTTAACTAGGTTTCGACAAGGAAGAAGAAGAAAGCATCCAAGTAACTGAAATCAGGAATGAAAGAGGGGACTATCAACCTGACAGGGGAAAAATGATTACAAGGGAATATTCTGAACAATTTTATGCGAATAAATGAAGATATCCGAGATGAAATGGACAATGTCCTAGAAAGACACAAATCACCAAAACTGACTCGAGAGGAAATAGAACATGTGGCTAGACCTATAGCAAGTAAAGAGATTGGATTAATTAAAAAAAAAACAAAACAACTTCCCACAAAGAAAAGCCGAAGACCAGATGGCTTCACTGGTGAATCATACCAAATATTTAAAGAATTAACACCAATCCTTCACAAACTCTTCGAAAATATAGAAGGGGAGGGAACACTTCCAAATTCATTCTGTGAGGCCAGTATTACCCTGACAACAAAAACCAGACAAAGATATCACAAGAAAAGGAAACTATAGACCAATATCATCCCTTATGAATTAGATATAAAAATCCTTGACAAAACATTAGCAAACAAAATCTACCAGTTCATAGAAAGATTTATACATTGAAACCTAGTGGAGTTGATCCCAGGAATGTGTGGTTTGTTGTTCAATATACAAGAATCCGTCAATATAACTAACACACCATGTTAACAAGATAGAGGGAAAAATAACCATGTGACTCTTGATACAGAAAAAGCATTTGACAGAATTCAACACCATTTTGTGATGGAAAACCATAAACAAACCAAGAATAGAAGGATACATTCTCAACCTGATAAAGGGCATCCATGAAAACCCAGAGCTAGCATCATGCTGGTAAAAGACTGAAAGCTTTCACCCGAAGATCAGGATCAAGACAAGGATGACCGCTTTCACCACTTCTGTCCAACCTTGTATTGGAGATCCTTCCCAGGATAGTTAGGCAAGAAAGTGAAATAAGAGGTTGGAAAGAAGAAGTAAAACTGTATTTGTGGGTGATATGATCTTATATATAGAAAACTCTAAAGAATCCACAAAAATTACTGATAAAGCTAAAATCAAGTTCAGCAAGTTTACAGGATAAAAGACCAATATGCAAAAAAATCAGTTGTATTTTCTATACCCTAGCAATGAACAATCTGAAAAGAAAATTAAGGGAAAAAAATCTGTTTAAAATAGCATCAAAAAGAATAAGATACTTAATGTAGCTCTATTTTTAACTTCTTGAGAAACCTCCATACTATTTTCCAGAGTAGCTGTACCAATTTAAATTAAAAAAAAAAAAAAAGAGTAAGATACTTAAGAATAAATTTCACCAAATAAGTGAAAGACTTATACATTGAAAAGTACAAAATATTGTTGGTGGGAACTGAAGAAGACCCAAATGAATGAAAAGACATTCTGTGTTCATGGATCGAAAGACTTAATACTGTTGATGTGGTGTTGCTCCCCAAATTATCTACAGATTCAATGCAATCCTATCAAGATTCCAGCTGCCTATTTTGTGGAAATTGAAAAGCTGATCTTAAAATATATATGGAAGTTTAAGCGATCCAGAATAGCTAAAACAATGTTGGAAAAGAACAAAATTGAAGACTCACACTTCGATTTCAAAACTTAACTACCAAGCTTCAGTAATCAAGACTGTGGTACTGGCATAGGGATAGACAGGAGATCAATGGAATAGAATTGATAGAGAAATAGACCCTTACATCTACAGTCATTTGATTTTCAACAAGGATGCCAATACTACTGGATGGAGAAAAAAGTCATTTTTTTAGCAAATGGTATTGGGACAAGTGGATTTCTGCGTGTAAAAGAATGAAGTTGGATTTGTACCCTAACATCGTCTACAAAAACTAGCTCAATGGATCAAAGACCTTAAAACTTTTAAAGTTTTAAGGCTGTAAAACTCTTAAAAGAAACATAGATATAAATCTTTGTAGCCTTGAGCTTTTCAGTGAGGTCTTAGATACGACATCCAAAGCACAGGCAACATAAGAAAAAATAGATAAATCAGACTTCATCAAAATTTAAAACACTTTTGCATCAAAGGACATTCATCAAGATAGTGAAAAGACAGCTTACAAAATGGGAGAAAATATTTGCAAATCATATATCTGATAAGGGTCTATCATCCAGAATACATAAAGAAAAGAACTCTTAAACTCAACAACAAAATGACCAACAACCTAATGAGAATATGGCCAAGGTATTCTGCATAGGCTTTCCTCCAAAGAAACACATACATGACCAAGAAGCACATGGAAAGATGCTTAACATCATTAGTCATCAGGGAAATGCAAATCAAAACCACAATGAGATATGATTTCCCACCCACTAAGATGTTATCATTTGTGAAAAGAAAAGAGAAAATAACAATATTGGCAATCGTGGAAAAAGCATACCTTCCTGATGGGAACAGAAAAGTAAAATGGTACGGCCATTGTGGAACATAGTTTGGCTGTTTCTCCAAAAGTTAAATGTAGAGTTACAGCATGACCCAGCAATTCCATTCCTGGGTACAGACCCAAGGGAATTGAAAACATGTTCCCACAAAAACTTATGCACAGATGTTCATTGCAGTATCATTCATAATAGCCACTAGGTGGCAACAACCCAAATGTCTACGGACTGATGGGCAGATAAAGAAAATGTGGTATAGCCACACAGTGGAATATTACTCAGCTCTGAAGAGGAACGAAGCACTGACACCTGCTACATCATTAATGAACCCTGAAAACAGGATGCTACGTGAAAGAAGCCAGACACAGAAGGCCACATATTGTTATGATTCCATTCATATGCAGTGTCCAGAACAGTCCATTCATAGAGCCGGAAAGTAGATCAGTGGTTGCCAGAGGCTGGGGTAGGCAGGAATGGGGAATGACTGCTAAAAGATATGGGGTTCCTTTTTAGGGTGGTAAAAAAAAAAATATGCCGGAAAAAGATAGTGGTGATGATTGCACAGCCTTGGAATACACAAAAACACTGAATTGCACACTTTAAAGTGGTGATTTGATATATGTGAATTATATCTCAATTTTTTAAAAAAAAATATAGAGAGGTCCCATGTGTCCTTACCGGCTTCCCCCATCGCTGACATCCTATGTAACTGTAGTACATTATCAAAACCAGGATATTGATGTTAGTATAAGGTGCAGACCTTCGTACATGCATTTGTGTGCATGTGTGAGTTCTATGCAATATTATCACATGTAGATTCATGTAACTATGACCACATCAAGATACACAGCAATGGTTCTATCACTACAAAGAGATTCCCTCACACAGCCCTTTATAGCCACACCTCCCTACACCCGTCCCTAACATTAGCAACCACTGATCTGTTCTATGTATTTTTTGTCACTTCAGGAGTGCTATATAAATGGAATCATACCGCATGTAACCTTTTTGAGACTGGCTTTTTCCACTCGGTATAATGCCCTTGACATCCATTCAAATTGTTGCGTGTATCAGTAGCTTGTTGCTTTTGATTATGGTAATTTATTAAATTGGGGCTACTTCTGAGGGCAATCCAGCATCTGCCCGAGGGAGTGGATCAGTGTCAGGCTAATTCTGGAAGAGGAAAGCACCTTTGTTAGGAGTTAGAGACCTCCTACAAGAGGCCTCCTCTGACCATCGTTTGAAAATGCCCTTCCATTGGCCATTAATAATTTCTCTCTTATTTTCTTTGTCCAATTTGTCCCTGCCTGATGGGTTTTTTCCTTGGTAATTTTACTTGTTTGCTTCCCCAGCTCGTGTAGAGCTGGGACCTGGTGGGCCAGGCTCCACCGCCCAGCCCTGTGTGTGGCTCAGCACCTGCCTCACAGGAGGGTATTTATATTGGGCAAGTGGGTAACAGATGCTGTTGATGCCTCCCCAGCCCCTGGTCCTTCCCGCATCTGTGTGTGCTGGCACCGACATTTCTCTGATTTCGGATTGTCTTTCTGGCCTCCGGGGCCCACTTGGCCTCCCCTGAAGCAGGCCCAAACTGGTGGGGAATTGAGCCCCCAGGAGCCACCCTCAACCTATGCTGGTGGGAATTGGGGTGTGAATACCCCAGCTCCCTCATCCCGAGGGTGGCATTGCACTGAGGCATGTTCTGCTCTGGACCCCACATTCCCTGGTGGCACCGAGCTCCAGATGCCACAGGGGGGGCTAGCTTGGTAACACACTGTCTATGGAATGCCTTTCCTCCCCTGGCCTTCCCACGCTCCAACTGGTGTTTCCTTTGATGTCTAAATAATCTCCTGACGCTCACATCCTTGCCTCGGGGTCTGCTTCCGGGGGAATCCACACTAAGACAGAATGAATTAATGAATTCAAACGGGTGTGAATCCTGACTCCACCGCTTAGGCAAGCCGCACCACTTTCCCCCTTGCTGAGCTGCAGTCTTCCTTCCGGGACATGGGTTACACAGTGCTAGTCCCCACCAGGGCTTTGAGAGGAGGTGCCCTGCTTCTCGTTCTGCCATCTCTGCGATTGCAGAGATGGGCAGGCTCAGCGGACACTCGGCCTGCTGGCCTGGTACCTGCGGCTTGCCCAGCGCGCCTTGGTCAGCCCTCAGCAGCTTCCCGTCAGCCTTTTTCTTAGAGACTCCGTCTGCTAATGAGGCCCTGAGTTACCTGCAGGTTAATGTTCTTTGACTTTGAACACCATGATTCCCACTTAGTCCTCCTGTTATCCCGCCTGCTGACAGAACGGTGATGGGAAATCAATTACGGTCCCCTCGCCTGCATCTAAGGGTCAGCCTTCAGACTCTTACTTTGTCAAGCAGCCACACTGACCCAATTTAGGCCCCGATTTGGGGAAGGAATGAGGGGCACCCGGTGGATTTTGAGCTGTGGTGTCTTGACCCCTTGCAGCTGCCCGGAGCACTGAAAGTTCTTGCAGAGCTTGAGAAACTTGGCCAGAATAAGTCAGAACCCCTTGAACTCCTCTCTCTCCCTTAACAAAAGCTACCGCCTCCCTCCTGAAAGGCACCATTGTCATTGGGACAAGCCCCCCTTTGTTCTCTTCCGCAGCTGGAGCCTGGGCCTTGCATCTCCAAGGGGCCAGCAAAACTCCCGAGCCAGCCAATCTCCTCCTTCCCTGGCTCTATCAAGTAGCCGGCGTGGTCCTGGTGACAGGAGTCTGTTGAGACCTTCTCAAATACACAGCGATGCTCCCTTTAGGTAAAAGGGACAACTCTAGCCAGCGTCAGAGATGCAGTGGTTCCATCTCAGCCTCTAAGCAGGGACCTGAGAGTCAGACACCTGCAGGGGCCAGCCAGAGAGTCATATCCTGGGAAGAGAAAGGGGTGTAAAACATCAGGAAGCAGTGGGGACTGGGGCGCCAGAGAGCCCCCAACGCCGGCCATGGGGGGGCAGAACTCTAGCTCTGGAAGGGGAGGGGAAATCTCCCCATCATTAAATGTGGCCAACAATGTGTTTTTAATACTTCATGAGCCAAACAAAATCGCCCTGCAGGCCAGATCAGTTTGCAGCCTCTTCTCTAAAATTTCTACGAAGGGACAGCCATTAGGAGGTAAATATCAATCATTCATTCATTCCGTCATTTATTCATTCAACAAAGATTCTGTGGCATCTACCATGTGCCAAGGAACTGTGCTGAACGCTCAGCGTTCTGGAATGAGTTAGACACAGCCACTTCCCTTCAGGAGCGCACAGCCAAGCATGTGTGGAGGGGTGACCTGGACTGGAAAACAGGTAGTTGTGGGACACTGAGTAAATGCTAGCCTCAGGCCCTGCAAGGACCCGTGGGCACCTGGAGGACAGAGCGATGGTATCAGGGAAGGGGTGATGGTGGGAGTGACAGCACATTTGCGCTTAACTCCCCCAGGTGGGAGAGGCCCAGCCTGTGCAAAGGCCCTGAGGCCGAGCGTGGGGGGACATGTTCAGCAGCAGCTGTGAGTTTCGTCAGGACAGGAGGCAGCTGGTGCTGAGAAAAGTTCCTGGATTTGGCATTTTCCACCTGCATCTAAAGCACCCATGACGTGGAATTTTATCGGTGCGAATGGACGCGACAGGGGGGCTTCCCTGCTCCTCTGGCCTTGGGAGTGGCCTGGCTGGTGGGCGGGAACCACACTCAGGGGTCCTGAGGCTTGGAAACCCTGCCAGGGAGCAGAGCAATTCCTGGGGCTCTGTGCCACAACCCTGTCCCAGTGCCTGCACTGGTTTCTTTCTTTTCTTTTTTCTTTTCTTTTCTTTTCTTTTTTCTTTTCTTTTTTCTTTTCTTTTCTTTTCTTTTCTTTTCTTTCTTTCTTTCTTTCTTTCTTTCTTCTTTCTTTCTTTCTTTTTCTTTCTTTCCTTTTCTTTTCTTTTCTTCTTTTCTTTTTTCTTTTTGTATTTTTACATTTTTAAGATTCCACAGGGTTTTACAAAAGAAAACCAGACTCTGCTTGCCCGCTTAATGAAATAACACAAGTGACTGCTCTTTGCCCATCCTCCTCTCTCGTCTCTCCCCACCCCCAGCGCTCTCCCCAAAGCTGATTAAATTGATTAAAATAAAAGCCTGCTGCATATTAAATTCAGCCCGAATGGCAGAGCAGAGAGGCCCGTGGGGCAGCTTCGTGCCAGGGACGAGTCGGTACCTGCCACAAAGTGCAGTCAGGACCAGTGAGGTCTAAAAGCCCACCCTGGATTACATAGAGAAGGGAGGCCTGGCCTCCTGCCCTCAGCCCGTTTACTTTGGGGAGGGGCAGAAAACGGACTAACGACTCCCCTTTCTTGCTGGTGTTTCAGAGCAAGAAAGACCCCTCCTTGTGGATGTGCCCCTTCCACCCGCCACTCCAGCTCTTTTTTGTTATCCGCAACACCAGACGGCTGCAGGACTTTGGTCTAGCCAAGATCAGGGTTTGGAATTACTGGACGGCTGATGGCGTAAGTAAAGGCCCCGACTCCTTGCCAGGCGTTTGACTGATGGGAGCACTTAGCGCCGTCCAATCATCTGGTTGCTGAAGTTGCAAGATGGGTACGCGGAGGCCCCGCTGCCCTTCCTGCTGGGGGTAGCCAGTGCCTGGCAGGGCATTTCATGCTGCGTGGTTGGAGCCACGGGGAGCAGAGCCTCAGCTTGAAGGTTTGGGAAGCTAGATCAAGCCACCCTTTGGGGGAACTGGACAGATAGGAACTGGGGCTCAGTTTTGATAGATAAGGAAACACACACAGAGAGGTTATGTAACATGCCCAGCGTCACACAGCCCATAAGCGTCACCATGAGAATGTGAACCCACGCAGTCAGACTCTTGGCCCATTCACTTTGCGACAGCTTACTGGAGATCTTGCTAAAATGTGGGTTCTAATTCAGCGGGTGGAGGGCAGGGCCTGAGATTCTGCACCCAGGTGTGCCAGTGTTCCTGGTGTGAAGACTCCACTCTGAAGAGCCAGACTCTTAACCTCTGTGCTCTTCTGTTCCCCCGGTTTCAGAATCCCTGCCCTCCTTTCTACCCCCCCACTGCCCCCTACTCCAAAGCACTTAACCCCTCTTTTCTTTGGACTGTTTTCTCGTGTTCTCATTTGCACTTACTCCTTCATTCAGCGTTTATTGTTGAGTGCATGTGCCACTGGGCTTCCTGATCAATTTGGACGACACTGATATGAAAGACACAGACCCCGCCCTGGAGGTATTCCTTGCCGAGAAGCCAGCAGACAAGTAAATAAAAATATGATGCAGTGTGCTGAAGGCCTTCATAGAGATGACTGCAGCGTACCAGGAGTTTCAAATAGAAGCTCCAGGAACTCAGCAGGGAACTCAGTGGGTGAGGAAGGACAGGACCTCCTCAGTCTATCTTGTTTCCCCTCTTATGATAGACGTGGGGACAAGAATTGTTCTACTTTGTTTTCCAATTTGTTCTCAGGAAGCAATAATACAAGGGAGATGAGCAAGGGGAACTGGACCTCAGCTTCAGTATTGTCAAAAGAGACAGTAGGCCACAGTGGGGAGTGTGGCAAACGGGTAAGCACATGCTTCAGGTAAAGGGAAGCCACTTCTCAGCCTCAGCTAATGGTTACTATGTACAAAAGCTAGCCAGTGCTGCTAGATCTTCTGAACATTCCCAGAGAGCTGGGAATCTGGAATTTGATAGCAGCCTCTCTGGTTTGTCAATGTCGACAGCGAATTTAAATTCTTTTGAAACCACCACACAGTCCAAAGCAAACTCATCTTTGGGCTGGAGTTGGCCTGTCCAGACTGCAGCCCCCGGAGCATGGAGGGAAGCCTGCGTCAGGCTGGGTGAGCTCAGGGAAGGTGCTGGAAGGAGCGCACACCTGAGCCGTAATGGAAAGAGACAGTGGCACAGAGCTGAGGCAGAAAAGGAGAAAGCGTATCCCAGGAGGAGGGCCCCACACTTGCAAAGGCAGAGGTGTGCAAGAGTGTGGCCTCTGAACTGCCCCCCCCTCCCCGCCCGTCCTGTACCTAGGTCCAGGCCTCCAGTCTGTCTCCGACAGCCTCTGGGAGGTCTGATCATGATTCTCTGCGGCTTCAAACCCTCCAAGGCTCCCCTTGACCTGGAGGATCCAGGTCAAACCTCCGAGTGTGACCTGGGCCCTGTAATCCCCGGGCGCCAGGCCCTGTGTCTCCCTCCCATCAGCCCCCACCCCCAGCTCCAGCCGTACCCCAGAGTGCCCGTTGCTGTGCCTCTCCACCGCTCTGCCTGGGAGTTACACCTGTAGGCCCTGGCCCCTCCCATCTGGCTCAGCTCCAGATGCTCGCCTCCGTGGCAAATTCCCAGAAAACCGAACATCACTTTCTCCAGGAAGCTGGCCCTGACCCCTGACCCTCATGCCACTTCTGGACCTCATGAATATGTTCTATCACCCCTGTACCAGGATGGACACCTGCCTCCCCCATACCACCGTGGGCCCCTGAGAGCAGGGCCTACGCTGTCTCCGCCTCTGTCCCATTCAAAGTAGACACACGTGGTTACCAAATGAAGGAATGAGTTCACTGCCCGAGAACCCACAAGCAGTTTGTCTTAACGCTTTGTGATATCCAGATGAGACATGGAGAATCGGAGTTTATGACATTTGCGCAGGCTCGTACCCAAGGTCAAAGGGGATCAGTCCAGGGGAGTCTGCTCCTCCTCCTTCCTTCCCATACCCCCCATCCCATACTTCTTCCTGCAGATTCTCCCTCTCCCAGCCACCCTGGCAACTCCCCAGGGGTCCAGCTGTGTGCTTACGGGCTGTCCTCCAGGCCCCGGCAGGACCCCACCCCTGTGTAGCTGCAGGTACTCCCTGCAGGTAGGGCCCTGCTCTCTCATTCCCCATTCGGCTGGACATTTCCTGGCAGGTGGTCGTTGGCAGCTTCTGGAATGAGCAATGAAACAGTGCTGGCTGCCCAAGCCCATGCCCTGTAGCTCAGCTCTGTCACTGAATATATGTCTCAGGCCAAGAAAAGCGGATTTTATGTGCTGGATTACAAAGCAGATAAGCTTCATCCCTTATGGCCGGGTCCGCCTTTCTTCTTGAACCTGCACTCAGCCTTCCCTGAGTGCTAAGAATAAAAAAAGAGGAGCAGGACATCAGGGTGTTGTTGGGGGTGCTTCAGGGAGCCTCGGGCGGGGGGGATCCGAGTCCTGAGGTATTTCTACACACGGAGCAGAGTGCGGAGGACTGCAGTCCCTGCCGGGGGCGCCACTTATGTAACGCACACCCATCTGTTGCCAGAATTTACCGGGGGCAGAAAGTGCAAACAAATGCAGCTGCAGGTTGGTTTGATTTAATATTCTCCAGAGAATGCTATTACTGTGTGTTTTAGAGGAGATAAAATGAGAGTTTATAGGAAATATAGCTCGGCCTGGTAGACACAGCTTGTTAATACAGTGTTTTGTGTATGGGAATCCAAGGGAGAAAAGTTAAATGGGGGGAGGGGGGAGCGATTCCAACCAAGGCTTATTTAGAACATAAGAAAAGAAGGTGCTAGAAAAAAAGAAGTCTCTTTTATTGGAAAATAAGATGATGTCCGTGAAGTCCTGAGGCTATCTTCGCTGGGTTCCCTCCCCCCCTCATTAGGCGATCCTGTGAGTGTGGGCTGGCCCAGGGGGAGGGACTTCAGGGGAAGTGAGGGCATGGGCTAGAATCCGTCCACGCAGGCAAACAGAAGGCAGCATGCAGATGTCTATACTTGTCACAGCTGCCATTTATCCAGGGCTGCGTCCACCAGGCAGGCGTGAGGGACCCAGTAGGCGCTTGGTCAACATTTGATGCATGAACAAATAACTCAACAAACAAATCATCTCAGTTAACCCCCAAGATTCCTGCAAGGTGGCGTCAGTCCCCACCTTGTAGACGAAGAAGCTGGAGCTTAGAATAGTGAGCTCCTTGGGGGCAGAGAAACTGTGTCTTTTTTGCCAGCCCTGCTTGGAAATGGCTGCCTGGAGTGCCGTCTTGAGAAGGGTCTGGAACCTTCCTTCTGGTTCATAAAGAGAAGTGTGTGTGATGGATCGGCGATATCTGCCTTGGGCTCAGGAGGAGGCTGCGATCATACGTCTGTCACATTTTTCGGGGGACTCCTCGGATGGCGTGACTTGCCCAGCGAGTGACTCGCAAGGGACACAGCTGGGAGGGGAACGTGAGGGGTGTGGGTTTTTCTCGGCACCACTTCCCCTGCAGCGCTACATCTGTTGGGAGGAAGGAGCCAATAATCTCCCTACTAGAGTATCTAGCAACCCATCCAAGAAGTGGGCTTTTGGCAGCTCCCCGTGGTCTGTGTTTTCCTTCAGAACAAGCCTATGAGTTATCTGCTACCTGGTGGTGCCCTTCAGTAAAAACAGGCACATTATCACCGTCTTCATCCACCAAGTAACCATGCAGATGCCACCTCCAGCCAGGTCACAACAGTGGGGGAGGCAGGATGGGTGCCCGGAAAACCGAACATCACTTTCTCCAGGAAGCCGGCCCTGACCCCTGACCCTCATGCCACTTCTGGACCTCATGAATATGTTCCATCACCCCTGTACCAGGATGGACACCTGCCTCCCCCATACCACCGTGGGCCCCTGAGAGCAGGGCCTACGTTGTCCCCGCCTCTGTCCCATTCAAAGTAGACGCACGTGGTTACCAAATGAAGGAATGAGTTCACTGCCCGAGAACCCACAAGCAATTTGTCTTAACGCTTTGTGATATCCAGATGAGACATGGAGAATCGGAGTTTATGACATTTGCGCAGGCTCGTACCCAAGGTCAAAGGGGATCAGTCCAGGGGAGTCTGCTCCTCCTCCTTCCTTCCCATACCCCCCATCCCATACTTCTTCCTGCGGATTCTCCCTCTCCCAGCCACCCTGGCAACTCCCCAAGGGTCCAGCTGTGTGCTTACCGGCTGTCCTCCAGACCCCGGCAGGCCCCACCCCTGTGTAGCTGTTCCTATACAGAAATTCTGCTCATTAAATAGTCCATGAATGAATGAATGAATGTTAGATTTTCCCAGTGGTGTATATCTGTGATACTCCATGGTGGTCTAAGCTGGCACTGTCCCATCGAACTTTCTGTGATGAAGCTAATGTGCTGTATCTGCCCCATCCGGTTCAGTAGCCGTGAGCTACAGGTGGCTGTTGAGAACCTGCATTGTGGCTGGTGCAACGGAGAAAGTGCATTTTATTTTACTCGTTTATTTTTCATTGATCTGTAATTGACATAAGATTATATTCTTAGATGTTTTAGGTGCACGACCTAATGATTTGAGATATATATATATATTGCAAAATCATCACCATAATAAGTTTAGTTAACCTCCATTAGCGCACATAGTTACAGAACATTTTTTTCCTTACGATGAGAACTTTTAAGATCACCTTTCTTAGGAACTTTCAAATATACAACACGGTATTGTTAAGTACAGTTATGATGCTATAGAGGACATCCCCAGGACTTATTTATCCTACAAC